CGCTTTCGGAGAGCAGGTTACGTAATATGAATACATGAGGATTATTTCATATAGCTTAATTGCGCCAGATACTCTTCAAAGGCAACTGGGGTGTTTGAAGTCTTATATTATAATCTCTACTCCATAGTGTCTGGCTTTGGTTCAAACTTGTATTTGAAATATTACCTAGAAAGGCCTCCTTCTCAACTTGGAGATCTCGTGGCGGATTCACTAGAACGTGGAGGGTAAGACTGAGGTAGTACGATTATTGAAATAATAAGGTGGATCTTTTTGTTTAACACCTATTAATGTTCAACATCTTTGGGCACAAGGTAATCCACATAGCACGATATCAGATTCTTACAAAAAGCCTCCTCCGTAAAAGTTTAGGTTGATATTTGTTCACAACTACTTACTATGATCCTACACTTAACAGTAGCCAGTTGAATGGCCCCACTCTTGCCTAATCATTTCACATGTATTTCTGGTACAAGATATCTTATTAGGACCTCCATACAATGCTCCTTCAACTGTTCCACTTAAGCACATGAATGCGATTCCATTATTTCCTCCTGCTGTTCATACATAAATACGTTTCCATCGCGATAAGAATCGGTACACTAAACAGACTGCACAACAATACATGCAAAAACTAAGCAATATGTGCAGAAAATACGATATTTAAATAGCCGTTTCAATCAAAAACACTCCTTAGCAGCAGTAATAAAATTAGTAGAAAATGCGCTTTGATTTGGAAAACCTCAGAACTTTACAGATGACCCAGTTTTTTTTTTTGAAGAAGCATGGCTACAATGTCCTATATAGTCCAATGCAGATCTAGTGACCAAACACAACAGTGGTTTAGGGAAATGTGAGTGAAATGCACGAGATCTGTTTTCCTAATGTACCCTAATCTATACACCACAGCAACTAATCTTGTGTTACTGTTCTGGTTGCGCTCTCGAGCATCTATTGTAAAACATGAGAATTGGCTCAATGTCTTTACGAGATATTTAGAATCACTTTGTACTTGAGAGGACTTTGAACAGTATCCTTTTCCATATATTAAGACAACGTTGGCTAGTTTATATTATAGAGATAAAATAATTTTAAACAATTTGTGTTTATTTAAAGGAGTTTACCTCAAATAAGTAATTATTGATAACTTTAACATCTGAATGCAAGTTTCTAGTATGGTGATCAAGACAGAAAGTTCAAAAAGTAAAACTTTTTAACATGAATATATGCCAATTTCGCATATGTAAGAAATTATCTACTGTTACAAATTAGCTTCGTAAAATTCTAATAAATTTAATTACCAATTTTTGGCAACTTAAAATATATACTCAAAGAACGAGTTTAACAATTCTGGCCAAGTATTAAAGAACATTTTATTCAAAATAATTAGCTTTCATATTTGTGATTAAATCATAAAATGTGTATTTAAATTTTTTTTTATCAGTATAATATTTAAATAGCTAAACGAATATATCTTTAATACTGAAATAAGCAAAATAATGATTAAGAATGTTTTGAGTAAATTTTATTTATAATTCAAAACATTTAATTATGTTGTTAATATAACTATATATCTTATAGCAATATCAAATATTTTATATATATATATATCAAATATTTAACCATATCGATTGGATAAACCCCTGTTTCAATTAACAGAATTCTCTAGGCAATATAATTTTAAGACAATTTATGACGGGCATTAGCCGTTTTTAGGATTTCGCCTCTACTAAGGCCAGAAGCGGTAGTCATTTTATTATGGACGCACCTAATAGGTGGCCATAGTTACCTCCTATGAAGGAGGAGACAATTTACATCCATGCCTTCTCAGAGATTCAAACCCAAGCTCTTCGGTACGGCAGTCACACTTTCCGGTCTGAGTCAAATGAGTGCAATACAGAGTCTTTATAAATGAATAGCGTGGTTTTAAAATTAGTAATAAATCGATACCCGTTGTAAAACCAACACCATAAGCACTGGCAACTTTTTAAGTTTCTCATGCGCTACCTGCTGTTTGCTGCGCAGCCACAGCGTCTATATCCAAGATGGCGCCACAACAGAAAAAGTCTAATTGCTCTGCTTTGAGGTGATCAGATCTGTGGGTTCAGTGCAGCGCGAGTTTCGTGCACGCAGAGAAAGTGCACGGCCCATTTTTCTTTGAACAAAGAACTGTGATCGATGACTCATTTCTAAACATATTGCAAACCCGGTTGTTACCTAAACACATGTTATGATGATTATATTATATTTTGAAACTGGACAGTGCTCCGCTCTGTTTTCACAGAAATGTACGAGAGCCTCTTAATAGTGATTTTCAGCAAAGCTAGATTTGACGTACTGCATCAGCAGATAACAACCTTCTCACCTGGCCACCCCGCAGGCCGGATTTAACATCACGCGATATCTTTCTTTGGGGTTTGTTAAAGACCAAGTTTTGCATCGATAAGGCCCTGTCTCTTGAGGAAGTTTGTGACCAGAAAAACCAAGCACTGCCAGACCGTCAGCGTAGAGATGCTATACCGAGTATGGGAAGAATTTGATTATCATGTAGATGTGTGTCGCGTGACCAAGGGTGCACATATTGAAGGACTGGGATCAATGAGTCAAGAACTTGGATATTTGCTGTTGCTTATCCTGCAAGGTTTGCCCATATAAAGTAATACATCGATTTATTATTAATTTTTAGAATCGCAGCAATCATTTATAAACACCCATTATAAGCAGCCATTAATAAAACAGCTTTTTATTAATGTTTCCTTAAAGTAGCTGTATCAATCAGTAGATTCTCCCGTATAAAATGCGGCTGTCTAAAAGTGCGGAATATGAGGGATTTCTCACTCAGCAACTGGTTCGCGTTAGTTGAGTCGCTTTTTGAGAGATGATGCAAAATAATATATGTGATCAAATATCATATCTTTACAGAAGATGATCGAAAACTTTAAAATGCCGAGACGCAATAGTATGCAAAAAGAATTTCGTATTTTGTTTCAGAGATCTGAATAAATATTAAAACTCATATGGCCAATTACTGTTCTCGCTAAATTAATTCGAAAGCAAAGGCAAAAGTAGAAATGATGCATTTTCGTGAAGTAACATTTCCTGAAGCGTTTTCAACCCTTTGACTGCTCACTCCTCTAAGTTTGAAGCACTTTGCGCAAGCGGCTTGCGGCCCCAGAATAACTGTCCAAACAAACGAGATTTCATTTCTTCTCATTACTGAGCAACGGAAGTGGTATGAGATTTCTATGAGTGTTGGACTTTCCCGATAGAAATCATTTCCGAACATGCACATGAGACAACAGTAAACAGCCAAAGATTTCGCCGAGGAAGAATTTACACCAATGGTCAACATAAAGGGCTTCAGACGGACGCATATATGCGGCCATAGGTCGCGCCGATGGTTTTTTGCTGTACGCATTTATACGACAATAATTGTTAAAGGGTTAAAGTCTTAATCACTAGAAACCGTATGAAAATGATTAGTAGGAGGAGAGATATAACTTGGGCATTAAGACTCATTTGGTTTTAAGTTTTATGCGAAAAGCTACTAACTCACATTTTGGCATTGAAAATAAACTCATTATTAACTCGCATTTCAGAATTAAAAAAAAAACATATTCACATTTCAGCATTAAAACAAAATGTTTTCATTTTGATTGATTCATTTGAGGTTTATTTCGTAGCAACAAGTTTAAAATAAATTTTATATTCTGGTACGTTTTCGAATCCTAATCTTTTGGTGCATTTTTAATTTTTAAACTCTTAAGCAAATAATCATTTGTTTATTTTTTAATCTTTTCCATGTTTAAAAATTCTAAAAAAAATTAACTGGAAGACATGCGAATGGTAAACGGCGAATGGTTTTTATAAACAAATCGTGATACTTTTTGGCCTTAAAATTAGCTTTTAAAATAAGAGCTAGTAGGTTTGGCCAGAAATGAGAAAAACTGCTGTAAAATTTCTGCAGTAATGCAAAATTTTTCTGAAAAGTTTCTAAAGGGAATAAACAACATAGATATAAGTTTCCAGATAGCAGCTATTGCCGAGGTTTGCACAAAGGGAGGTCTTTTCAGTTCTGATTTTTTTAAGTGAAAACAAATCGCTGTGTATTTCGGTAGAAGAATACAACAAAAAAATTACAGAAATATTTGAAGAATTTAAGCGTTTTTATTTTTTAATGGCTCACTTAATCCTTATCTAATAACTTAAATTTGTATTTTAAATTTGGTAAATTATGTTTCCTCTTTATATATTGATAATGGTTACCGACTTATGATAAACATAGACAGCATGGAAATCTTTATGTTAAAAAAGGCGAGAAAGCCACCAACTAGCAACTGATAAAGAACTTATCGACTGTAAAAAAACGCCAAATTGTGGCAAGTGGGTTACGTTAACACGTAAGTACCTAGCGCTCAGTCATATACACGTAGACACTACACGTAGACAGCTTTATATCATTCATTTACATCATTCATCAAAGGTATTTATTTAGTCATATTTCACCAAATAATATCTGGGCCAATAATAAAAAGTAAAGAAGTTTTGTGTTGAAATGAATAAAATAGCAACAAATATTTATATGTAGTACATTGATTTCTAAAACAATGGTTAGCATGGATAAGCCTATCAAGGCTTGAGTGAAAACCATTGCTTAGCTTTCGCAAAATTACTCTTCAAGATAATGTGTACCACTGTGCCTGACTGTAGCATGGGCATTACGTACCTTGTTACTTTCTGTAATACCAACGATTGGGCAGAATACCTATGCCTATCTATAACGTACTCCGATTGTACCTTGACCTTTGCCTTGAATGCTTTTAAACTGTTTTCCCATATTAAAAATCTCAATATAATTATTCCATATTAGTTTATGTACTATTAATTTACTTTATTATTAATAAACTTATTTTAAACACTCATACTAATTACATTCGATCAAACATCATTACCAATTTTATCATGCCAACGACAGTAAAATATTCCATTTGAAGAATACTTACTTGTTTACGAATGAATATGCGTAACATGGACCCTCTTGACTTCCATTCAGCAGGGGTGTGTTCTCTGAACTTCCGGTGCTACTTCCGCTGGTCATTTTACGGATTGCTCCTGTAAATATTCCCGCCATTTTCGGGTCTGAAAAGATTGTTGGGGATTCTGACTTGGAAAGAGGCTGGAAGGTATCACTACTGCTGGTGTCACTTCTGCTGCTAGAAATGGAAAAAAAAATCACCGTGAATAGCCAGAAGGACAATCCTGTAACTACAGTTACAAGATAAGACACTTCTGAAATGGTGAGGTACAACATCGAACGCTGATAAGTTATTCCTCCTTACGATGATAAGATAAACATTGGTTTGACAAGCAACGGCTTTAAGACTATGGTACTTCCATAGTCAAGAATCTCGTAATTGACCTGCTTTGTCGGTAAAAATACTTTTTCGTTTCCGATAATAAAAATTTGTGATTTTTCTAGATTCGGTTAAAGATATTTGAATCATGGATTTTAGAAGCTTTAGGATCAAAAATGTATTCTTAAACATAAAAAAGAATGCAAAATATTACGTAGAGTATAATGTTGTTTAAATAAAATGCAACGCATTGGCTAGGTTAATAAAGAATACATGAAATTATGTGAAGACATATCAGGAAAAGGGGTTGCAGGAAACATTATGCATATTTTGAATGCGATATTATTCCAAAGAACAGAGGAATTTTAATTCTGTAGGAAATAAACGAAAAATCTCAGTCATATTTTGTAATTTTTTTGATTGATTACGACAAAGTACTCAAGTTTTGTCTGTCCAAGGCAAAGGATAGGAGTGTACTTAATGATTTTCTAAGATAAATGGCTTTATTCACGGTACACATGGTTAAAACTCCTTACGTTTCTCACAATCAGCTCTTTGTTGGGATATGAACTCTGGTTTAACTACCATTGTTAAGAAGTCCACTCGGCCTTTGGCCATTTTCTAAATTCAGCTAGAGTTACGTTTCTTAAACTTGGATAGATAATTTTAACTTAAAATTAAAAGGATTGAACTAATTAAAATTTCATTTTGTAAGCATCTTCGCAATTTAGGTTTACGTGAACACGGCAAAGCTTCGATGGCCATCTGTCTAAGAGGAGGAATGCCTTCGTGAAGGACATTCTAATATAAATCGATTCGGATACACGTTACGCATGAGGAAAACACGAAAACGGCCATGCAGCTAGCCCGTTCTTAGGATTGTAACCTCGGACCGAATTAACAGTGATAAGCCCTGTCAACCGTGAAAATTGGCTACCATCGAACCAGGAAAATTTGCGAAGATTCTGTCTAATTTACACAAATTGTTTTTGCAGAATTCTGAAGGCACAGACTACTCTTTATTTACAAAATAATCTGTATTCGATCTCTCATTTTTATTCTTCTTAAAAGAGTTTTCCCCAGTTTCTATTATTTTGTTAGGTCCTTCGAATTTACCGGAAGCTGTATTTAGAACGCTATGAGTACAAACTCTCCGCAGCTAATTTCTTCAATCCATGGATATTTTGTCGGCTGTGTTCAGCTAACCATATATTATCCATTAATACACACATTTTTGAGGGTAGGATGCCAAAACATTGAAAACAATTCTTAGCTTGCTGCTCTATAAAGATATCTCAAATTTTAATCAGTTTTTTTTTTTTCAAAATGGAAGAAAAAATGCAGCAATAACAGTTAATTTAAATGCTGGTTGATAAAACCAAAACATGGCTTACCCAGAATCAATCGAATTTACATCAAGTAAAACCTCAGATATTATGCGAGTGGTACGTCAGTCATGTTTAGATATAATTGGCTCTAAATCATGATGACTGGCGACAGCTTCACGGTCGACGAGATAATACCTTAAGGTATGGTATGATATGATATAGTTGATTACGGCAAAGTCAAGGAAGGGACGACTTTGCGGAGGTTTTCGAAGAGAAAACGGCTCAAGTACGCGTTACACGAGGGAAAACCAACGATAATACGTAAGTACCTAAACATTCAATATACTTGTCATTGACTAAAATAAAATGAAATTTCTTTAATATAGTTAAGTGTCAGGATGAAAGTTAAGTAAGAATATTCATCTAGTAAAGTAATATTTAATATACACGGTTTCTATTAATCAGGTGAAAATAAAATTGTGAATCTTCAGTTTGCTGAAATCTAAACTGTTAAATCAGTTTAGATTTCAGCAAAGTTTAACCACAGATTGTACCAGAAAAGTGTCTTCATAGCTTCTGGTACTAAAAAATAATAACTTTATAGAATTCTCTTAGTATTTAGTTTTCCTGCAACATTACTAACCTTTAAATAATTTCATAAAATATATTATTTCGATTTTAGTTTCTTTTATTTGATTATGGCTTAGAAATCTAAGGCTACCTTCCTTAGCTTCGGAGAGGACCATTCTAGTAAAAACTGGCTTGAACCTATGTTACCACGTGGACGAAAACGCCCATGCAGCTAGTCTGTTCCCTTGGCATCGAGCCCAGTTCCAACTTGCCAGTATTCAGCAAGTTTACCGCTCGGATGCTGGTAGGCACGGTATCTTTCAGAAGTTTTTCAAAATGCTTATCAACAAATGCTAAATGGCACCAGATCAAGAAGCATATGTCATTAGTAATTATACAGAAGTCAAAGAAAGAATGATAACGCAGGAGTTGTAGGCTTCAAGAGCGCTGTATCTAACTAAGTTTTAGTCTGTTACCACAGGACTCAAAGCGAAAGGGAACTGGCAACACGGAAAGTTATAGTATTTGAATAGAACACGTGATGACGATTAGGTAATTTTTCAGATGATATAATTTTTATGCATTCTAAGTTATAACATGAATGAGATGTAACAGTGTTAAGTGAATCTAGCGCCAGAGTGTCGCTATAAATATAGTGAATTTTAAAGAGTGCAATTTATTCTATTGTGTTTTGCGCTCTATCAACGAAGTACATTTAAATTAATTCAATAAGTTTAAATGAAATTCAGGACAAATTTCGAGAGCATTTGGACTAATGTCCGTTTGGGCTAAAATTACATAAAAAACAGCATATATTTAGAATTTCAATAGACAGTCTCACACGCTGGAGATAAAAATACTTTTATTTTCCCTACTGTGTTGCCACTGCTCGCTTTGAAATCGTTGAATCTGTTAATCAAAAATTCGTTAAAGTTTTGCATAATATGGAATAGACGATAAAAAAAATTCCAAATTCGGGTTTCCAGGTGTCCATATTCGGGTGGAGGTCTACGCTATTCAAAATTCGACGACTGGTTCGACCATTGGTTTTTCACATTGCAAGACATATACATAAATTCATGCAGATTCTTCATTATTTAATTTCTTTAAATATAATACGGGACGGTAATGTTTGGTGGCAATAATTTGAAAAGAGAAAGGGGCATTTATCGTGAACCGAAAGAAAATACTATTTCGAGAGTAATAGTTCTTCTGGGCTAACGCTCCTTTGTGATAAAAAGAAAAGAAAGGAAAAAGAAAGACAGAAACGCGCCACACGGGTTTCCGCATAAAGTCGCATGTTAAAGCTTATTATTCGCTTCATTTTCAAGATCTCACTTCAGTTGTTGTGCAAGTTTTTCTAATATATTATATTAAACATATATTAATTATGAGAATAAATAAAAACGAAATAGGATAACGAAATTTAAAACCTTTTTTGACAATATATATTTTAAAGACAAACACCCTTATAAGAATAAAATAAATAAATTTAATTTAATGGTAGCTAAATAAACATTGCTAGCGCATATGCATTTTTTCAGGAAATTATTTGGCCAGTGTTACTCTAACGTAAGCTATCAGTGATATTATCAAGCATTTTGTATGAGAAAATTTTAACTTTTCTTTCCTTGTAGAAAATATTTTAATTTTGAAATAAACACGAAATAATAATACGTACTAAAACACTGCTAGAAACATTTTGATATTCCCCATACAACAGAACGTTTCCTAATTCTGACCTTTAAGGGAAAGTTCGGGCATTGCCTTTTATTTGATACAAGCAATTTAACTTTCCTGTGGACGTATGTAAATACTGAAATGCCATTTTAAAACTTATAACATGCCATACTAGTATCGCTATATAATTTTAATTGAAGTTGTTGTCAGTATATTTTAATGAACTTTCGTATTTTATTTGAAGAATTATTCGTATTGGATTTTGTGAAAAAATTATCATGCGAGTACACACTGACTTGTTTGAAGAAACAAATACATATCTTACATGAAGTAGTAGAATAAACTCAAAAGAAAATTCAGTTCCAGTTGTGTTTGTACCAAAATTTATTCTTAAAGATCTTTGATCTCTCTGCTGAAGAAGAAATATTTCCTTTGAAACTCTTGTGTTCTATTTTGTATTGCAAATCAAAACTGAAAATCAGGAAGCATATCATAGAAATGAGAGTTTCTATGATTTTTATAAGCATAATTTTGAAACTCTTACTCACAGATATAAGTGCTGAAGTCGCGTAAGATTTACCTATCTGTAAATCAGTAAATTTAATTATATGTACCTATTATCATAGGCAAGTTTTTACCAATGATCTGATTAATTGTTTATGACTGAGGACTCCAGTGCTTAGAAAAACGATAATTGCATATTTGTATTTTAAAAATGTTTTGTAAAGATTTCTAAAAAGCGAATTTTATTACATGAATTCAAATTTTATTATATGGAGCCTTACACTAACAATTTTTCGAGAAAATATTTCCGACCTGAATAATAGAAACGTAAGAAAATGCAAGTAAATAGCATGTAACTAAAAGGTTATAGGCTTTTAATTAGTACTGATGTTTAAAACCATTCAATTCTGAAAGCTCAGAAAAGCTTCAGTTTCCAGTTCCGTTACTTTAATTCATAATTACCATTAAGTTGGGTTGATTTTGTGTAATACATTATGCATACTTAAATTTTTTTCATTGTAAAAAGCTGTTTTTGAAAAAGCTCTTTCGGTACAAATATTATTTATAACATTCACAAGAAACAGAGTAATTATATGTAATTCCTGGAAGTAACGTTTTCGTATTCCAGAAGCTTAGCAAATACATTTCACATAATTCAAAAATCAGTTGAAAATCAACTAAAATTCAAGAAAATAATTCCAGAAATTTGGGCTACGAAAAAAATTACTGTACTAGTTACAATACCTAAACTTAATTTGCTTAACCCCGAGATATCTG